CCCCCCCCGGGAACACCTTGTTTCCAAACAAGAAACAAATTATCTGTTAAAATTGTTCAGCAAACTTTTCCCATCAGGATTTTTCTTTTTTTTGGGGGGGGGGCAGAGGGAGAAGAGACATTTTATACACTGAAAAACATACTCAAAAGGAACCCAAAGAAAGACACTTCTCACACAGGGTGTCTAGATATATCTTTGATACTTATTCATTTGAAATAGTTCTAAATAACCTATGGATATATATGGAACAGATTGTTCATCTTTATGCTTTTCTCTGGTTAAGAATGAAGCAAATTCTGACACCCTTGGTTAATTTCAATTTTAATAAAAATTACACTGAGCATACCACAACAGCAAAATAGCATGTTATGACCACATGAAGAGATCACATCCGTTTTTACATTATTGCCAATCAGGACCTCAACTATTATTTTGGCAGTTCCCTGTAGTTTAATTCAAAATAAAGAAGATGATCTCATTCAGTTACAATCTAGATTCTGTTCTACCCAAGATTGAAAGTAAACCCTAAACTATCTTTGGTTAACCAAATGGCTCTTGTAAGTGTCTCTATTGTTGGATTCCTTTTGATAACTCAATGGATGGGATTACATTATACACCAAGCCATAGTTTGTTTTAATCAGGTTTTGAAGACAAAGCATAATGGCCTGGTTCACACATGCTAAGCCATAAACCTTGATTCACAAATAGCAAGGGCCTGATTTATATGTAACCTTAACCCAAAATGTAGCAAATCACATTATAGTTTTGTGCAATGTCATTACTAGTAGTTTAAATAATATACTGTGAAATGAAACGATTCATTCTATTGATAACATTTAAATCCTAGATTGTGAAAAGGCTGTCCATATTCAGTACTTTTCCTTTATCCCTTCGATATCTGCAATAGTTTGCCTTGTAAACATTGAAAATACCTAACAGTATAACAGTATAAACAATCTTGCTTCCTATTCAGCAATTATATTAACTGAAATGTAGAAAGAAACTTTCTCTGTGGCCTTACCTTTCCCACAAACCATGAAAACAGAAGTTGACATTTATGGAAACAAAGGCTATTATAAATAGATTTTATTTATAAAGTTGATTTACATAAAATAGGATACTCTTTAAAAACTGCATATACACAAGTCAACAAATCTAGCAAGTGCATACAAAAATACCTTCAATACATTAAAAAATAAAACTTCAGGGTTTTCTTTTTCTTAGATAAATGAACCTTCACACCAGACCCAAAACAAACAAACAAAATCCTCAACACCACATTTAAAATAAACAGCTCTATGCTTCCTTAGTACAAAATGTTAAGAAACTTGTCTAGGTTGTGTAAGTTCTCAAACGTCCTAGCTGATAGGGTTAAGAAGCCATTTCTATAAATCTTTCCTCTTGCATTATCTAAAGGTTGTTTTTTTTTTTTGCACAAAAATAAGTCTTCATATTAAGTGTTCCCACAGGCAGCTCAAGTTACACAAATAAAGTCTACTTTTGACGTTCAAATAGTCCCCTTCCCATTCAGAAAAAGGAAGCATCAAGTTTTAATTATTTCACCCCTGCCCGTATAAAAAGTAGACAGACATTATGTTGGAAGCCCAACAGATCTCCATCTGCCACTAGATTCAGAGAAAAAGCCTTTTCATTGGTTGTTCAAGAGTCAGAGGGCACCATAAACTGCTGTACAACAGCAGATAAAAACTTTGGCCCCTAGAATCTATTTACATAATTGCACTTTTTAAAAAAAGAAAAAGAATCAAAACCACCAGTCTTTTGTTTCATAAACGAACACTGAAAGAACGTGGTTAGAACGATCTGACTATCCAACATCCTTTGCAATGAGGCTTGAAGAGAGTAGGTGCATGCTAAATTAGAAGTTCCTGTTGCTCTTCTGCTGCATTGGACGGAGCCTGGGACAATGAGGTACTGAGGTTCTACACAGTGTTGCTTCAGTACTGCTGCAAAAGAAAAGAGAAAAGCCATCAGAAGCACGTGACTGACAGATCCAGAAAAGCTCCACAGAGCTGCGCAAGGCTTCTCCCTCATCCCAAAGCCAGACGAATCAGGGCATTGTGCCCACTACCAAGCTCTGTTAAAGAAATTTATTGTCCTTCATGCCTACGTATTCCAAAGCAGTGTTTTCTCCATATGTTGTTTCAGTATGTACCCCCATTTCTGTATGGCAAGCAGGTCTATAAATCTACCTTCCTTCTGCTTTCTTTCAGAAGAGTGGACGGGGTTGGTGATAGAAAGGGGAAACAATAGCAGCATTTTGGTGAAAATTCCCTTTTGTGTAAGTTGCAATGAAGTGAACAACATTCAAATGAAACCCATAGACCTTGCTTAATTCCTTGCTCTGCATTCAAAGTAAGGTTTGGTTTGTAAACATTAAGTATTAATTCTTATCCGCATTGTTCCTTCCACATAATACGTTACACGGAATGGGGGGGGGGGGCAAAAACTCTGCAACTGAAAACTCAGAATGTGAAATAGTTTCACATCATACAGTATTTTACTTGAGACCGCAAGAACTAAATTTATGCCGTCAATTAGGTATACAGTCTTAAAGTCACTTAGACACTGTGGCTTCCTCTTCACCGTCAGAAACATAACACCACCCAACATAAAAAGCCTCCGGTTCTCCTGTTCTCTAAGCCCACTGACCTAGTAACCTTTGCGTTTGAAAGGAATTTCGTTTTGCGAAGTTGGGGCGAGGGAAAGCCCACTGCATTTTAGCCCTCTGTGGCCGGACGCTATCCTCAATCTTCGCCGAGCAGAATTCCCACCATTTGTGGTTTCCAATCAGTGACGCTCCCTTTCAATTGCATCTGCTGGTGCTGAGCCAGTCGCGTGCGCAACGCCACCCGAAACGAAACCCAGCCCAAAGGAGACTCGGATCACTTGGCTATCTTTCTTTTCAAACAGACAGCTTCACATGAGAGTATGGGATTTCCCGCTCCCCCCCCTTTTTTTTTCTTTTGCAGTGGGATAGCATAAAAACGTAATAGGAAGATTCTGGGAAACTCAAGAGAGCGCAATCCTAGGGTGTTTAATCAGAAATCAGCTGGCCGGCGCCTTACCCTTGCAGCTCAGCAGCTCCCGAACCAACTGGTGAAATCGAGCAGCTCCTGTTCCTCCGGGCTGAGCGCCCCCTCGTAGCCACTCTCGTCCGCAGAATAAGCCGGGTGCGGGGAGCCTGGCACAGAACTGCCTTCGCGGCCGGCAAAAAAGGGCGTGGCGGAGGAATACGAACTGGAGCTGCTGCCTGCGCAGGCGGCGGAGACGGCGTCACGGGCAGGCGGCAGGAGACCGTCCTGGAAGGCGGCGCTGACGGCGTCGTGCTCGTCCAGCAGCTGTTGCAGGGCTCGAATGTATTCCAC